TAGTATGATATTCTTTAGTCAAAAATGAAAATTTAAGAGAATGATAAACACAAAATTTGGGAGGGAGATTACTGGACACTTAAAGAGAGTCAAGGAGGGTGGGGTGCCTGGTGGCTCAGTTAGTTAAGCATTTGCCTTTGGCTCAGGTTGTGATCTCTGGGTAGTGGGATTGAGCCCCACATCCGGCTTCCCCCCCCACCCCCGCTTGTGCTCTCTCTCTCTCTCAAAAAATAAAATCTTTAAAAAAAAAAAAGGCGCCTGGGTGGCTCAGCCAGTTAAGCGTCTGCCTTCGGCTCAGGTCATGATCCCAGGGTCCTGGGATCGAGCCCCGCATCGGGCTCCCTGCTCCACAGGAAGCCTGCTTCTCCCTCTCCCACTCCCCCTGCTCGTGTTCCCTCTCTCGCTGTGTCTCTCTCTGTCAAATAAATAAATTAAAATCTTTAAAAAAAAAAAAAATTAAAAAAAAGTCAAGGGAGTTGGATATGAAAGGAGCGCATATGTAGATGTATTATTGGTGTATGGTTCTTCGGTAGGAAAATTAATGCATGTGTATTTGTCACAAAATTTAAGAATAAATCAATTTAACAAGAAAGCCATATCAGGGACTAATTGAGTGTCATGAACAAAAGATTATAATTAATCTGCATCTAAGGTTCAAAATAAATAACTTATTTATGCAAATGAACACATTTGTACATATTGTATGAGGATACAAATCAAGGTGATGAGGGGTGATCTGGGAATCTTGTATTTCGTATGGTGACTGACATGAACAGGGATTCATCCAAATTTTCCCAAAGTAGATTGTTATGGTAACATGGTGTAGAGATCTGGCCAGGAACATTTGGAGTTCCCACATTCATGCACCAGTGAACATGTGAAGAGCTTTGCCCCTGGTTGTCATGCTCTTAGCCAGAGGAAGAGTGTGGTGCCTAAAACATGGAGAGTTGAAACTTTGTGAACCACTTTGTTTTCCCCTTTTTTGGAGGGAAGAGTATAGTGAAGTAACATCGTAGGGATAACATTAAGAACATCAGAGAAAGATTTGAAAAGGAGAAAAAGAAAATCAGGATTTCTTAGATAATAGCTTTGGTACATGGGCTTTGGATGAGTTTCTGAGCTATCATTGGAAACACCTTATTTTAACATCTAATTAATTATTTTGTCCATACTCTTCCTGTAAATAGTCTTCCTGAAACAAGTCTCTGCTATCCCACACCAGACTGAATCCTTTTAATCTGGTTATTGATTATTGTGAAAATTCCAAAATGTAAGTTATTTTTATACATAGTATTTTTTTAAGATTTTATTTATTTGAGAAAGAGAAAGAGAGCACAAGAGAGAGGCACAAGCAGGGGGCAGGGGCTGAGGGAGAGGGAGAAGCAGACTCCCCACCAAGCTGGGAGCCCAGCGCAGGGCTCGATTCCAGGACCCTGAGATCATGACCTGAGCCAAAGGCAGACGCTTAACCAATTGAGCCACCCAGGCGCCCCTTTTTATACATATTAGACCATGTGGTTCTTTACTACAGTTCTGTGTTTCAGATGTGGTAAAATCAGTTGTGTTTCTCCTGATATTGTACCAAAGTTTTTGAAGGATTAAGAAAAAAAGAACAGGTTTATTGTTACCCCTGCTGTGTCACATCACTGTATTTTCCATATCCAAATACTCTGTTAGGTGGGAGAGAAAGGGATAGTTGGACTTACAGGTAGCAGCAGAGATTTGTACCTGATCTTGAAAATGCTATTAAGTATGTTGAAGCTGTGCCAAGCAAAAGATTATGCAACTGCTGTTTTAGACCATGGACTACCTAAAATATTAAAACAAAAGACTCCTTAAAATCTTTTGTTTTAAAGAGGGAGGAATGCTGATCAGACATTTTCCTGATAAAGATTATCTGAAAATAATCTGCATCTTGGAGCCCATGAAAAAATAAATTCCAACATGAATCCCAGTTGTACTCCTTGTAATACTATATATAAAGAGTAGTGGATTTGGCATCAGAATATTCCTTATCTCCAGAACCAAACTGAGACGCTGAAAAACAGGGACCTGTGCCTTTGTGGGTGGATGACTGAGAGAGTATTAGTATGTTCTGCTTCTTGCTAATCCTGTGATCAACTTTGAATCTCTGTCTCCTCATCTCTAAATTAATCTTCAGATTTTCTGTTAACCTCATAGAATTAGATGAGCATTTTATAGGTGGGTGTATTTTGTGTGCTAAAAAAATAACATTTTATGACAAAGTGAAGTTTGTTACATCATAATGAAATAGTAACTGTATGTTTAAAGAAAAAAATACATTTTTCCAGAGTCTTTGAAATACTTAAAAACGTATTTTCTGAATTTTTAATTAATATTTTTTAAATATCCTTTTTTAATTCAAGTATAATTAGCATACAGTGTTATATTAGTTTCAGATGTACAATATAGTGATTCAACAATTCTTTACATTTCTCAGTGCTCATCAAGATAAGTGTTCTCTTAATTCCCTCTATTTCATCCATTCCCCCCCATCTCCCCTAGCAACCACGAGTCTGTTCTCTATATTTAAGAGTCTGCTTTTGTTTTTTTAGGGTTTTTGTTTGTTTGTTTTGGTCTCTTTTTTTCTTTGTTCATTTGTTTCTTAAATTCCACACATGAGTGAAATCATATGATACTTGTCTTTCTTTTATTTGACTTATTTCACTTAGCATTATATACTCTAGGTCCATCCATGCTATTGCAGATGTCAAGATCTCATTCTTTTTTATGACTGAGTAATATGCCATTGTATATCTATATATACCACATCTTCTTTACCCATTCATCTGTCAAGGAACACTTGGGTTGCTTCCATACTCAGCTACTGTAAATAATGCTGCAATAAACATGTTTAAGGAGTGCATGTATCTTTTCAAATTCGTTGGTTAAATGCCCAGTAGTGGAATTACTGGATCATATAGTAATTCGATTTTTAATTTTTTGAGGAACTTTCATACCATGTCACAGTGGCTGCACCAATTTGCATTCCCACCGACAGTGCATGAGGACTCCTCCTTCTCCACATCCTTGCCAATACAAAATACCAATAGCATTTTTACCAGAACTAGAACAAATAATCCTAAAATTTGTATGGAACCATGAAAGACCCCAAATAGTCAAAGCATTCTTGAAAAAAGAACAACAGAGCTGGAGGCATCACAATCCCAGATTTCAAGATACTCTACAAAGCTGTAGTAATCAAAACATATGTTACTGGCACAAAAATAGGCACATAGATCAATGGAGCAGAATAAGGTCCAGAAATAAACCTATGCTCGTATAGCCAGTTAATCTGAGACAGAGGAGGCAAGACTATCCAATGGGAAAAAGACAGTCTCTTCAACAAATGGTGTTGGGAAAACCGGACAGCTGCATGTGAAAGAATGAAATTGTACCGCTTCCTTATACCATACACAAAAATAAACTCAAAATGGATTAAATGTGAGACCTGAAACCATAAAATTCCTGGAAGAAAATATAGGCAGTAATGTCTTTTGCATCAGCTGTAGGAACATTTTTCTAGATAAGTCTCCTTGGCAAAGGAAACAAACACAAAATTAAGCTTTTTGGACTATACCAAAATAAAAGGTTTCTGTACAGCAAAGGAAACCATCAACAAAATAAAAAGCCTATTGAATGGAAGAATATATTTATAAATGATAGATCTGAGAAGGGATTAATATCCAAAATATATAAAGAACTTATACAACTCAACAGCAAAAAAAATCCAATTTAAAAATGGGCAGAGGACCTGAATAGACCTTTTTCCAAAGAAGACGTGCAGACAGCCAACATGAAAAGTTGCTCAACATCACTGATGCCTGGGGAAATGCACATCAAAACCACAATGAGGTATCACACCTGTCAGAATGGCTGAAATCAATAACGCAAGAAATAACACGTAGTTAATACTATTTTGGGTAATTGACCTTACTTTTCTTTTATTCCCCTTGATTGTCTTCATTTTCCTCAAAGGACACTCACTGCAAATCTATCCCTTAAGCTTCCTAAAACAATTTCTGTTGATTGTTCAACTGTATGTGATATAGCACTGATGAACAGGATCAAAGAAAAAGTGTCTTGTTAAAAATCCAAAAATGTGAATCACAGTTTTATGGTTATTGTTAGGACTAGCCAAGAAAAATTGTTACTGAAACCACAAAATTCAGTATTTATCTCTTAATGATTATGCAAGAATGATCTTTATCTTTGAGGAGGCAGGGGACAGTGTATTAAAATATTTGGACATTTGAGCTGGATATGAATATGTGATTATTTTAAGTTAGGAAAATGATCAACAAAATTCTTGAACCATTTAAAATAGTGAAGATGAGGGACGCCTGGGTGGCTCAGTTGGTTAAGCGTCTGCCTTCGGCTCAGGTCATGATCCTAGGGTGCTGGGATCAAGTCCCACATTGGGCTCCTTGCTCAGCAGGGAGCCTGCTTCTCCCTCTTTCTACTGCTCCCCCTGCTTGTGCTCTCTCTTTCTCTCTCTGACAAATTAATAAATCTTTTAAAAATTTTAAAAATAAAATAGTGAAGATGAGAAATAATGTATTATTATTTACTCCTTAGTTAATGATTTTATGTACAACAAAGGATATTATATTTTATAAAATGTGGATTTATTTATTTTTAGAGACAGCACGAGTGGGAGGGGCAGAGGGATAGAAAGAGAAAATCTCAAGCAGACTCTGTGCTGAGCAGAGAGCCCGATGCAGGGCTCGATCATGGTGCTGAGATCATGACCTAAGCTAAAACCAAGAGTTGGCCGCTTAACTGACTGTGCCACCCAGGCACCCCTGGAGTTATTATTTTAATAGACATGTCTGATTTTGTTTCATTTATACACTAGTGAAGTATAATTGAAGAAGGTATAACTTTGAAATTTAAATTTGTAGTAAATATAGCTTCAAGTCTTTGCTGTAATAAAATGGAATTTTGGAATAACTTAGACTTTTCTGTTTGTTTTTTAGTTACTAAGTCGAAAAGACAAAACTACCTTTGAAAAATTAGAATATGTAATGAGTAAAGAAGATAATTACAAAAGACTAAGAGACTATATAAGTAGCTTAAAGATGACGCCTTGCATTCCCTATTTAGGTGAGTAATGTCACTGTGTGTTCATTATGCCCAGTTGTTCTGTCTTGATTAATCAGTAATTTATATGAAATCCAGGATATTTTAAAAGTGTGTATATCCTTTAACGACATTACTGCCAGACTGTTAAGTTTAAAAAATTGAGTAAAGAAATAGGTTACCTTGTTACCTGGAATGTATTTTCATATTAAATTAGCCTTTTGCCCTTAAGGTTTTTCATAGACTATCATTTTTTCTTAAAGATGGACAGTGGAAAAATAATACATTTTAGCTCTTTTCGTAATGCTTTTAAAGAGTGAAATAGTGTGCAATGAAGTTTAATGCTGCAAAAACATTTAACATTAACTAAAGAAATTGATCAAAAGATTTACTGAATTTATTTTCAATATCATGAGTTCCTATTATCTTATATAGTTGGCGGATCTCTTAGGGTGAGTTATGAAAAGTAGTCTCAATGAATGTTGGTATTGTTTTCCTGGATGGTGTAAGTTATTTAGCTGTGAAAATTTAGCTAAGTGCTGAGACAACCAAATGTTTACTTTATATATCATTTCACTAAGACTTTATCTCCTTATTATATATTTTACAGTGCTTATAAATTCCAAGAAGTGTTTAACCAAATACATATGTTTATTTTCAACAAAAAAGGAATAATGCTTTGTTAGGTGTTTGAATGAAGTCTCATACCGCCTATTTTAAAATGTGCGTGTAAGTTTAAATACAGAAAGTACTCTATATGATATATGCCTAGCATATATTAAGATAAATTGGTTTGATCCTGTGCAGAGAGTAATCAAATGATAGAGTTGTTTCTAATAACCCTTTTTGTCCTCTATCTCCATGGTCTTCATGTAATTACTCACACTGGATTTCACAGTAACTATTTTTGTATGTAATTGAGAAATCTGTTATTTGTTTAAATGTCTCAGTGTTGTCTTTGAGGTCTTTATGATACCAGTGACTAGAAGACAAAGTAGAGACAGAGGCAATTGAGAATACTTTCATTCAGCTGCATTAGAGCATCAGCCTTAGTTTTTCAGAGAAGAACTCACGAGAAGTAGAACATCATAGGATTCCAGTGAAAATAGGGAATGTTGTGCATTCTGGTTGAAGGCAGAATATCCCAAGCACAGCATGGATAATGGCCACTACAAAGCAGAATACTGTGTCGTTTCTTTGATAAAAAAAAGTATAGGGCCATAGTACACATGACTCCATCAGAGAGGCTGTAAGCTAGATGTTAGGAGAAACTTTCTGCATGTGCTCAACTTTTCACCATGGCCTTGGCTGTGCCCATTCTTGAAAATGTCATTGGGGGTGAGGAAGAATAGGGGATTTTTAAAAAATTATCAATATCTTCATACTCTGTAAGAACATAAACTTTTTATAACTTAAAGAACGTTAGACTGAGAATCAGCAACCCTCAATTCCAGAATGGCTCTTCTGTATTAACTTTTCAAGTCATTGAATTGTCTTATTTGAGCCTTGGTTCTCCTTACTTGGAAATACACAAAGGACCAGAATCATGTTCTTCTTTAGGCTGGATGGAACCATGGTGATTTCTTCTATTCACTTATTTTATAATTTAGAAAATTAAGGTCCAGAAGGTGGAAGGCTTGACTTAATAGTCCTAAGACCAAGTTACTGACCGATCTGCATTCTGAAGTCTTTCCAGTTGTCTCTGTTAAATTCTCTTTCCAAAATTGACTGATTCTATGATCGTATTTGTTTCTCACGGAAATGTTTTTCTCAAATTCCACAATTATGTATCTTTTAGAAAAAGAAATAAAGGTTCTTTTTTGTTGAAAATGAGCAAATGAATATAAATCTTGGTGCCATGATGTCTAGTTCAGGAGGCTGCTTTACATTTTTCCACAGCAGAGACTTCAGTACAGGATTTGAAGTTGTCTGTGCATCTGCATACATATTTACCCTGTCATGTATGTAGAGAAGAAACAGAGAGAAGGGGAGGAAACCACCAGCATGATTGGAGTTTAGTGGAATCTGGAAAGGTTGTTGTCTATTAGAGAGTATACCTATTTTCTCCCAGCCTTGGTACCTGAAACAAACACAGTGATATTCCTGTTAGTTAAAGCAAATGAGGCGAATATTGAGGTGCAGAAGTTGATTTGGAAAAAATATTAGAACCATTATCTTTCCTGTATCTTCAGTTTGGTCTCCAGTGGTTGACTACTTCTCTCTTCAGTTCATTTTCATTTTATATGTTCTCATGCCCCAGACTCTTCCTTCTCACTATTTACCTAAGCTAATAAAGTACCCTATTCCTTTCTCCTTTTCTTGCTGTTTTCTTTTGCTCAGCATGCGGTTGTCTCCCTCTTCAGTCATAGAAATGTTCCCAATAGGGATGCCTGGGTGGCTCAGTCGGTTAAGCGTCTGCCTTCGGCTCGGGTCAGGTCCTGGGATCGAGTCCCGCATCGGGCTCCCTGCTCCGCGGGGAGCCTGCTTCTCCCTCTGCCTCTCTCTGTCTCTCTGTCTCTCATGAATAAATAAATAAAATCTTTAAAAAAAAAAAAAAAAGAAATGTTCCCAATAAGGTCACCATTGATTTCCTAGTTGAAATGTTTGATGGGGGGTGCCTGGGTGACTCAGTCATTAAGAGTCTGCCTTCGGCTCAGGTCATGATCCCAGGGTCCTGGGATTGAGCCCCACGTCGGGCTCCCTGTTCAGCGGGAAGCCTGCTTCTCCCTCTCCCACTCCCTCTCTTGTGTTCCCTCTCTCGCTGTGTCTCTCTCTGTCAAATAAAGAAAGAAAATCTTAAAAAAAAAAAAAAAAAGTCTGGTAGGTATTTCTCAAGCCTCATATTAATTTTATGAGGTTTATGGTAGTTACTTGTTTCTTGAAATTTTCCAGGAGTAGCACCATTCTCTTGGTTTACCTTTACTTTCTGGCTTTTGTTTTATTGAGTCCTGTTTCTCTGCATTTTTTTTTTTACATCTATTCTTCTGAAAGTCTCAGTGCACTGCTTTTACTTATGCTGTACTCTCTGGAGTGGTCTCATTCAGACTTCTTCCATAATTCACCCAGTTCAATCCCAGATCTAGCCTACCAGTTCTGGTACATCCAGCTGTCTAGCAATTCCCAGTGCCTAGTAACATTTTAGATATCAAATACCAATTGGATGAGATGTCTGTAGGTAACTCTAATTCAGCATGTTTAGAAGTAACTTCGTCATCCTTCCTCCTTCCTCTAAACCTATCTTAATCTCCTCACTTGGTCTTCCAGTGAGCATGGTGTAGCATTATCTATGCCACTCCACCACACTGAAAACCTAGGTTTTTTACTGGAATTATCCTCTAATTTTCATGTTGCCTAATGAAATGAGATTCGTGTTTCTGAGAGTTATCCAAGAATTAGAAACTGAAAGGGGAAAAAATGGCAAAGAACTGAAGTTAAAATACAACATACTTTTTAGCATCTACATAATTTTATATGTTGGTAGTCTTCATGTAATAGTTCATCCCGGTGCTAGTTTGTGAATAAGCATCTGAGGTTGTGAGATAATTGTGGAACATTTGGCAATATACACTTTTGGTAGACTGGAGAAAGGAAAACTTAACGTTTGTTAGATAAGTTATTATGACTCAGTTTGTTTCCATCATGAAAATAATCCTTTTAATGTAGTGACAGTTCTGTTGTACAGCGAACCTTGAGATTAAATGCATTCCATCTTCCAAAACATACATGCTTTTTCTAAGAAAATGTGAAGCATATTCAATTTATACAACTTTTTGACTGCTTGATTTAATATCTTACGCAGCTGGTTTGTTTTTTCATTCCTGATCTTTAATACTGAAGTGTTTTAAAGAATGAAGACTAAACAACAGTTTATGTCCTGTTAATATTTGCTTTTTTCATATTTTATTCTAATTTAAAATTGATGAGGACTGTGGTTTTTATATTTAAGTTGTCTTGTTTTCGGAATCCTTTCCCACTCTTAGGAAACTAGTGCAGTTGGCCCAAATGTCAACATTTACAAGATGCTGTTGGATAGGACAGAACTTGCCCTGAAGATGTCGGAAAGATGGTACTCGTTATGCATACTGGTAGCTTCTATTTAACTATCTCTCCTCAGTATACAGAATTTGCATAATGCCACCTTTTATCCCTTATGGTGCAAAGGTTCTTATGGAAAGAGTGTATCAACAGAAAGAATCTATAGTGCACAGAGAAAAGGTGAAGGCAAATCATCTGTTTGTTAACATGAGAGATGGAGTCCAAACTTAAGGTGTTTTTGCTTCTAAGCATTATGACCAAAACCAGCCATTCTTAGAGAAGCTTTAAAAAGGAGGTGGCAGTTTATATGCTGACAAAACTCTTAGTTTGATACTGCCAAATTTATCTACAATTCAATGTGGATTAAACTATAAGAAGTAAAAATGTTTTCTTGGCTTTCAACTCATCGTCCCTTGAAAAATTGTCTCTTCTGTTGGTTTGCATTCAAGGTAAAAATTAGTCAGCCTGGACAGTATAGTGAAAAATTCTTAGAATAAGGATGCAGTATTTCTGGAGAGGAATAGTTTGGCAAATCTCAAGGAAAAAATTGTTTTATATGAGAATTGTTGCTTTAAATCTGAAAATTATTAACAGCACTCATTTGTTCTTGTCATTGGAGAAAAATCTTAAGGGGCTTATTGAAGAATTTGGTGTGGGAAGTTTTGCTTTGCTGGAGAGAGAAAAATAGAATGTTGTGCAAAAATAAAAATTTAGTTGTATGAAATGTAAATATTCTTTTGTGTGCATATCCTAGCCTCATTTCTACTTTATTCATGTAGTTTGGGGGAAAAGCAGTAGCTTAATAAGCTTAGGATGTTTTCTGGGAAAGAAGGCATGTTTTAAAAAAACAGAAATAAATAATTGTTATAGTTCTTTTTATTGCTTTTGATCAAGTAGAAGCAAAGAAGTTTCTGTAAAATCTCCTGCCTTTCTGTAGTACATGCGTACATTGTTTTGATGTGTCTACGTGTGACTCCTCTCACTCTTGT